AGCGGGGGTGGGAGCCCCCCCCGACACACCCTCTGGACAAACTGTGGCTCCATCCTGAGCCCACCCCACCCTGGCTGGGCAGCACTTGCCCCAGCCCCTGTCCCACTCCCTCTTTCACTGTGGGGGGCCTTGATGTGCTCCCCCATGCCCCTTCCCTTCCCCCTCCCCCAAAAGACAGCCGGAGTCAGCTGTGTCCAGCATGGTAAGGACTGCCATTTGTTTAGTCTATAGCCGAATCTCCAAAACAGCACCAAATCTTCAGATCTGATTGGGCCAGATCATATTGGGACAGTGATTTGAATCTGTTAATCAAATCACTGTCCCTCCAAATGGCCAAATCCAAAACAAATGCTTGCCGCTTCACACAGGCCTACCAGCCAGAATCCATGCACACAGCCCTGACCCAACTTGTGCCTGCTCTGGACTCACCCACCCATGCTGAGCAACAGCAGCAGTGGAGGAAAAGCAGCCCCTCCCCCTCGCTGCTGCCAGGTGCTTCTTGCTGCAGCAGTCCAGATTCTACACTTGGACTGCCCTGCAGCTCTTCCCCACTGCTGTTGCTGCTGCCTATGGGCTACCCAGCAGGGCAGTGGTGATAGCACAGAGGAGCAGCAGGGCAGCCTGGGCATGGGCTCTGGGCAGCTGCAGCAAGGAACACCCAGCAGCAGTGAAGGGGAGGGGCTGCTTCTCCCCCTGCACTGGGCAGCAGCTTCTGCCTGGCCGCCGCTGTTGCTCAGCGTGAGCGGGCAGTCCAGAGCAGGCAGGGGGCAGGCCAAGGCAGGGCTGCATGTGCAGGTTCCAGCTGGTCCACAGCTAGTCCGCTCTGCTGGGCAGAGTCCAGAGCGGGCGCAGGGTGGGCTGGGGTCAGAGCTGTGCACATGGGTCTCTGCCAGTACTGTGGGGCTGAGGCCAGCGGTGGCAGCAGCCAGAAGGAGCCGCTGCTGCCTGGGCTGCTTAGAAACGCAGTCCAGCTGTGCAGCCACCCCAAGCCCTGTTACATGCCCAGGAAGTGGCAGGATGCACCATGGAACGGACAGTGCCTGGGCCAGGCGGGACTAAGGGACCTGTTGTGGGTAGGACAAAGTCCCTCCACAGGCTGGATTCAGCTGGATTTTGATCACCTTGGTGCCTACCCATAATCCCCCTTTGTTCACATAAACCTCTTTCTGAGAACTCCCACAGTGATGCTCAAACATCCCAAAAGGTGATAAATGGCAGCAAAGTGAACTTTATCAACTTGACGTCCAAATAAACAGACAGGCTGGAAAAATCAAAGAAATAGTTGACATAAGGTTAGGAATGTTGGGTTGCAGAGCTATCCCTGGCATTTTGTTTTGCTGAAGGAGAGATCTCTAGCGCAGGAAAAGGCTGCTGATACAGGAGTCAGGTCTCAGTCAGGTGGGTTAATGCCTCATTCATCCACCTTTGACTGTCTACTCATGGCAAATACCTCCCAGCAGCAGCTACTCATTGAGTAGTGGTAAGAAGGTTGGCCAGTGCCCTCTCCCCCTTCACTCCCAGATCAACTGCTTTCATCAGCAACCTCTAGCAGCATGAATTAAAAACTAGGCTAGTTCATGACACATCCAGGCATGAGGACTGACTGGTTAGGCTCCTCAAACTCCCACTTTCAAAGACATCTGCCCAAGATTATGCAAAGGATATAAAGCTAAGCATACTTACTTTAACATGAAGAGCAGGTTAGGGTTGTGTTCTAGGAGGCCAGGGTAGAGCTGTTGTGTAGCCTCTATAGCCTCTCCCACTCTGCCTGCTAATACTAGTTTCTGTATTCCTGAAAGCAAGAAGAGACCTATTGGTACCAAGGAAAGCCCAGCAAGAACAGCTACCACACTTACTAAGATAGCCTCTGGAAAGTCCCACACAGCTCAGCCTCTGCCCCCCACCCTGTCACCCACAAAGGATTTTAAAGTTGGGTTTATGCCTTATTTGCATATTTATGATGGGTAGAAAAAATCTGAGAGAGTGGAGGATAGGATCTGCCAAACCCAGCAGATAATAGATACGGGGTCTATGTTCTGCTGGAGAACCAGTGGGAGGTACAAGGGACATGTACTGTGATCCTTTCACATTGTGATAAAGGAAGGTGGGGTGCTTAATGTGAAAGAAAGGCTTCTTGTAGTTAAGCTGTTAGCACGTCTTTGATGTTAAGCAGGAGACAGCAGGCAGGGCAATCAGACTGAAGGGGGAAATGACAGCTTGCACCACTCAGTTTTTCGTCATGAAAGACATAACCCAAAATGAGGCTCACATCAAGGACTCAGGCAAGGCCTACATTTGGAAGGCTTGTCCTATATGGCTGCCTCAAAATACTAGGATTGGCAGGGCATTCTTACAGTGGAGCAGCTTCTAGAAACAAAACTGCACATTAGCTAGTACAGCTTATTCCAGACCCCCTTCCAAAAGAAAATGAGCTGTGCCAGCAAACCCATGCTGCTGCAGTGTAATTGTGCGCGTGTGTAGTATGCTGGCACACAACAGATGTGTGTCAGCATAGCTGTGGCAGTCACAAGCTGCATCCCACCATACTCCTGAGCTGACACAGCTATACTGGCAAAGCCTAACCAGCTTCTGTAAGGTGGCTCCAGGAACACTGCAATGGCTGAATTGGTATAAGCTGGACATTTTTAGGAAGCTCAGGGATACAAAAGTTACCAAGATAATATTGCAGGTCACCACACTATTTTGGTTCTGGCCCAGCCCTTGCAGCTTCTGCTGACAAACTGCTTTGGACTATCTCTGCACCTGTGAGTTACTTCCATTCACCAACCCCATCCCAATGCACCTGGACAAGCTGCTCATTTACAGCACTGTAGACGGTGGTATTTTTCTAAGTTTAAATGATAAAAACAAAAATACTTTGCATTTTCCTGTGATAATCTCAAGGTACTTTACAAACAACTGGAGACTGGCCATAAGCCTGTAACAGAAGGAAGCAATAACCTTGTTTGTCACCTTCTTGGTTTCAGGGTTAAAGCTTTCCCAACGTAATACAGGTCAGTGACAGAGATGGAAACAGACCCCAGCAGTCCTGCTGGCCAGTATCCTGCTTCAGAACTATGCTGTGTTGACTTCTTAGAAGCACCCTTTCTTCATGTACATTAACAACTGCCTATTAACTAAAAAACACCACTTTAAGACGCTGCACGAAAGTAAGCTTTCTAGCACTAATACCCAAGGTCTGTGTTTTGGGGTCTCTTCCATTTTGCTCCCTACATTCCTCCTGTTCCCCTCCATAGCAGTTTTTATCTTCCTTTACTTTCTTATACCTTTTTCTTTTCTCGTTTAAAGGCTTCCACTGCCGCCTCTCTGCTTTTGATGCTTCCCTCCTCCTTTGATTCTATTTCTGTCTCCCTGCCTCTGCTGCTCCTTTACCCATCTCTTTCTTCTGTTTTTCCTGATCTCTTTTAATTAGCCCCAGTTTCAACAAAATATCAGACCTTTACTTTTCTTTCTGCTTAGTCTTCTTTTACCAGCTGCATTTGGCTGTGCTGTCCCACCCTGGGCACTCCTCCCTCAGGTCTGCTGGGTAACCTGATTATTACTGATAAAAGCAGTGACGTGAAAGCAGTCTGAAACCTACAACACCCTTAATGTTCTGTAGCCACTCCCTTCTCCAATCAAAAGCAGCAGCAAGGGCAGTCTTGCCCAGTTCAAGTTGTTTTTGCTTTGCTGTACTCCAGTTGTGGCATGTTCACCGCGGAGGACAGAACTACAATCCTTCTACTGACATGAGTGATGTGAGAGCATTGCTAGGCAGCAGCTGCGAGTCATTCTAGGCTGCTGGGCAGAAGATCTTTCAGCCTGGACACTCTTTAAGAGTACACATACTGTATGTAGCAGACAACTACAAGGAATGCAATGCAGCTGGAACATGACAACCATGTGGCATACAGAACACAAGGAAAAGAGAGCAGACAGAGAAAGTCAGAATGTCAGTGGGCTGCAGGTAAAAAATTAAACTCTGAACAGCCAGGACAGGATGGTGAAAGATCAACACTCAATCCAACACACCAAATATTAGGGGAAATCAAGATATCATATTCCAAATGCCCTCCAATTCCTTAGTGGGCCAACAAAGAGGTCTTCTTTATACACCCACTTTTTCATCTCAGGGTTAAGAGTCCATTTCAGGGAATGAATTAGAATGGCTCAAAGAAGAAAAAAATCCTATGCATGTGAAATCTGGTGGCATTTAAAGCACTAAAGATTAAGAACTGTATTACAGTAGCTGAAGTAGCAGGTAGAGCAAACAGGTGGTGTGTGCGATTCTCCCCCACCTACCTCTGCCCATGCACTGTGTCATGAACCTACAAAGCACTGCAAGATGCAGAGAATGTAAATGAACTCAAACTCTGCTATGAGTCAAATTTGCTTCATTAGTGGCGATTCCCACTGATGCAAGCACTCCTAGGCAAGCATGGGGGGGGCGTGTGCTCTCTGCATCTGTGTGCAGGGCAAGGGTAGGCTGCTGCTGTGGACTTTGCCCCAGGCCCCAAACTTCCTTGCCATGGTACTCTGTGTGTGGTGGGGTGTGTGCATATAGCAGTGAGTGGGGCTCCCGCCAGAGACATGCATGTGGGGGGGAGACGGGGTGCATGTGGGGGTTCAGGGTTTGCAGGAGGTATAGGTGAGGGTGGGTGCAGTGTTTGTGGGGTGCATGATTTTGTGGAGGAGGATGTGACTATGGGGTTTGTGGGGGAGGGTTTGTGGGTATGGTGGGGTGTGCATGGGAACCCCGCGCACGCTCCCCATAGAAGGATCAGCACCTACCCCCACCCGCAACAACTCAAAGCCCACCCACCCTGCGGTACCTCCCCGTCACTCCCAGGACTGCGCAGCCCTAGCATTCCCTGCGCCCACTCCGGACTAACCTCCACCAGAGTGGATCAGCCGGAACCCAGGAACAGCCTTGACTGGCCTGCTCCACACTGCCTGCTCGTGGTACATCCTGCTGCCCCCTGGGCATGCAATGGGGTTGGGGCATCTCCGCACCACAACTGCCTTTCTAGGCTGCCCAAGTGGCAGTGGCTCCTTCTGGCTGCTGCCACCGCTGGCTCCAGCTTTATGGTACCGGCTGGGACCTGCCTTGACCCCATGCACCCACTCTGGGCTCACCCGCCCAGGCTCAGTAGCAGCAGCATGGAAAACCAGCTATTGCTCCATACTGGGGTGGGAAAAATGGCCCTGCCCCTTCCCCGCAGTTCCCTGCTGCGCCAGTCAGAGATGGAGATGATTGCAATGGAGATGCAGGGCAGCCTGGTCCAGGCTTAAGGCAGCTGCAGCAGGGAACTGCTGGCAGCAGAAGGGGAAGTGACTGCTTTCCTGCTACACTGAGCAGCAGCTTTTTTCCCATGCTGCTGCTACTGAGCTTGGGCAGGTGAGCCTGGAACAGGAGAGGGGCATGCAGAATTGGGGCTCTGTAGCATAGGTCCCCACCAGTACTGTGGGGCTGGGGCCAGCAGCAGCCAGAAGGACCCACCTGGACTGCGTAGGAAGGCAGTCCAGCTGCAGAGCTGCCCCAGCCCCGCTGCATGCCTAAGGGATGGCAGGATGTACCATGGCTGGACTGTGGCTAGGCCAGGGGACCAAGGGACCTGCCGTGGGCCAGACAAAGACCCACCGTGGGCCAGATACGGCCCATGGGCTGTATTTTGCCCACCCCTGATCTAGGCACTTAGGAGTTTGGGTCATTTCACAGAGTTTGCAGGGAGTAAGGGCCCTTATGGTGAATGAGAGAGACAAAGGGGTGGGGTGCGGAGATGGTTGTGAAGGAGAAGTGCTTACTTTGCCTATTTTTTATGGAGGCCTGATCTTCCTGGATTGTGGTGTCTGTCACTCTGGCAAAGGCAGTTGCTGTTGCACAGTACCCATGATGAACCAGGTAGGAAGATACCATGCTAGGAAAAAACAAAATGCAACTAGCACAATATACATCAATAAAACAGAGAAGTTCTAACAAAAAAGGGAAAAAGCATCAACACAGTAGAAAATGCAGTTTTAATGACAAAACTCAGCCCTGTTAGAACATAACTAGTATCTTATTTCTAACTTATATCTAGACACCTGTCTACTAAGAACTGGATAGAAATGCCAAATAAAGACTCCCAATAACTAGGTCTCCATTCTTAGTTATAATCAACCTGGGCTGAGCAGGGTGAGATCTCCTATATTAGGTCACTTGGTATTCTATTACCAATGCTCTGAGCTACTGTAAATGAAGCAAGCAGGTTCCTCATTTTATAGACAGGAAAACTAAGGTGCGAAGAGGCATAACGACCTGCCCAAACAATCAGGGATAGCTGGAAGAACTCCAGAATCCTGTGTTTTGATTATTAAATGTTTCTTTCAAAGGATAACTGTATGGCTTTCTTAACAATTACACTTATTCCCAGACACCAACAGGAGGTGCTTTACTATCTAGTTACAATTTGAACAGTTATTTAACACATACTTTAATGATTTCCTAACTGTGTTTTCATCATGAAGTGTTAGAGGTAAACAAATATTGACATGATAGTGCCAGAAAATGTATGTAGTAGAAATATATTTCTCCAGTGACTGTGGAGACCTTTGCCTATTGATTCCATTTTGTACCTTTTAATTTAAATGTTAGTCCTACTCACACTTCATCAAAACCCTAAAGAACTGGCACACAAACTGACTTAGCTTACCAGCTGATTAGGATGGACCAAAGAGAATATGGAGTCCAAATGGAGTGTGAAACTAATAATCTTCTCTAGAGGAGGGACATATTTTTAGGAATCAGCAACACATCTGCAGTTCAAATCTGATTAACAGGTTTGTTATTTTTAAAAACTGTCTGGTCAATTGCAACGGGACTACTACCATTCATTGCCTTAAGTATCTGAACACCTGTAGTGAGCTCTCTACTGCAAATACAAAACATACTCTACTTTAACAACGAGTTGCTTGGGATATAGGGAGCAAACAAATGGGCTGTTCTAGGTTCCAAAAAGCTTCCCATCCCTCAAAAATATCTGGAGTCTATTTTCTATCCTTATTTTAGGAGCAAACTGCAACCAAAACATGGTTTATTTTTAATAGCTCATTTGCTATCAATCTTTTGTTCCCATTTGCTTCACTACAGCAAAGTGCATCAAAAAGATAGCCATGCTGGAAACCAATACCAGCACTCAATCTCAAACTCCTCAAGCAGCAATCTGTTCTCCTGTAGGCAGTCTTGGTGCAACCTGGAGAAATAGGAGTCATTTTATGCCAAGATTTTTTAAAACCAGTTTGCAACAAAACTGTAATCTGCAGATATCTCAAGGTTAAAATCAGAAATCATAGAATCATAGAAAATTAGGGTTGGAAGAGACCTCAGGAGGTCATCTAGTCAAACCCCCTGCTCAAAGCAGGACCATTTCCAACTAGATCATTCCAGCCAGGGCTTTGTCTCGCTGAGTCTTAAAAACCTCCAAGGATGGAGATCACACCACCTCTCTGGGTAACTTGTTCCAATGTTTTACTACCCTCCTAGTGAGAAAATTCTTCCTAATATCTAACCTAAACTTCCCTTGCTGCAACTTGAGACTGTTGCTCCTTGTTCTGTCATCTGCCACAGAAATAATCTGTCATACAACAGCCCAACAGCTATATGGGCATTGTCCTTTCAGATTCCTGATCAGATGTGTAGAGCAATTAAGAAAACTGTGCTCCAATGAATCCATTCCAGATACTGCACTTGCCCAATGCCTGCTGGGAGAAGGTTCAGGCTTAGAAAGCTTAAGCCTAAAATATTGACAGGATGAGGAAAGCTCATATCTCTTCCTGTCAAACACGGGAACCTGGGACATAATGGGCAAATCTCTCTTACTAAGTGCCTGAGTTCACTAATGGCTCTAACACTAAGAATACAACAATTCAACTTAGTCAGAAGGAAGCCAAAAAATGACCTGGCTTTCATTTACGTTCAAATCAGTAGCTAGAACTATCCAGTTCCTTCCTGAAGATCTTTAAACTATACCAGGGGTGTCCAACCTTTTTGAATGTGGGGCTGGATCACGAACTTTTTATCACCCAGTGGGCGGGCGA